ATGTATCAGTTGATACATGAAGCTAAAGACCATGCTTTCTTATTATCTGCACCCCCATCAAAAAGCCATGAAAAGTATTGATGAGGACATGAACCATATTCCCAAAAATCATTTATGTGGCAACCTATCTAGGCACATAGCATCCCCTCAGATGACTTTCCACTCTTCCAGGTATATTTGTGAGTATAAACGCAGGTTATGATTCCTCCTAAGAGAATTTGAGTATTTTAGAATAGCTGTGCACCACATACCGAAGTTTTTAGTGCCTAAGACAAAATCTTAGTTTTCTGTCCACATAAGACTGTAATGTGGCTTGCTTAAAGAGAACATGCAGCTATTTTTTCCTTCACATTTTAGAATTTTGGTGCAGAGGTTGTAATATTCTTTGTCTTTTAAAAAACATAGGGGGTGGGAAAGAAGACAGACTGCTGTGTATATGGAGAGAACAATAGTGGAAAAAAAGATTTGTGAGTAAAGCACTCACACTTTTTTGTATTTGTATGGAAAAAGAAGAATGTAAAAAACAGGTAACACTAGATGTTGAGATAGATGTTAAGATATCCAAACAAAGATGTAATCAAACAAATGTTTCTCTTGAAAATTGTGAGTGAGTTCATAATTTTTTGGTGGGAGTCAGAATAATCAGAATATGCCAGTTACTCAAACAACTATATAATGCATCTTTTGGTACAGAATAATCATTTGATTTATTTTTTTAAACTGGTGTCAATCTAAAATTAAATTATTATATTTACAGAAAAAAAATTGAAAGTGATTTTTCTGCTTTGCCCATTTTAATATACTCCTGGCTATTTGCATCTAACAAAATTTGCTAAGTTTTCAGGATACTTATACATTAATGCAACCACTTAGTAAAATTTTGTGATTTTTTACAAAGCTATTGATTGCATGCTGGTTGGTGGTTTTAGTGTCTTTTTTAGGCTGGATTCCCAAACTATTGATATTTATTGTAAGAAAGGAAACATACTTTAGCAATTTAAAATACAAATTTGAATTATTAAATAAGGATTATATGACATAATAAAAACTCTTCCTCTTCTGTAATTTTTTGTATTATTCTTTGCCCACAGCACACAACAATCTGTGTTCACTTAAAAAAAAGTCAGAGGATTGCAGAGACTTGGCTTTTTGCAATTTTTGGCAACAGTGACTATCTAGAAAATGCATTTTCTTATTGTTCCCTTTAAAAAAAATTTCAGCAAAATTCTATATTCCTCCAGAAATTTTACAGCAGTTTCTTTCACTAATTGCAAATTTCACAAGATCATATTTTAAATATAAGTTTAAGGCAAAATATATAAAAAATATGTTTGTTTATAAAAATCGTTTAAACTTGGAATACAATGAGAAAGAACACATGCAAAAATGGCAGTGTTATTTGACTAAAACGAATATTATGAGAATGATTGCCGGAAGAATGGTTATGCACACAGTTGCCAGAGTTTGTCATATTCTGAAAAATCTGGTGACTTCTACTAAAATGGTTGTGTTAATAACGGATATTAACAAAGGTTTCCCGCTACTGCAAATGTTTTGCGTGCAAACAGTTTGCATATTTAATTATATTTTGTCAAACGATTTTTAGCATTTGAAAGAAAGAGACTTGCTTTAGAACACTGTGTTGTCAAATTTGTAAAAAATATCATTATCATTATTTGCAATGTGTCTGAAATGGAACTAACACACTACCAGATTATAGCCATCATTTACTTCCAGTTCTGTGAGAATTTACTTCCAATTCCAGCTCGCCTGTTAGAACTTGTGGAAGAATATCAGTATGCAACCACTCGAGAGATTGTTAAGGTGTTAGACGTCAGTGCCATGTCCATTAGTCATGCTATGCATCGCATAAACTTGCCATACAAGTTCAGTCGCTGGGTGCTCCATGAGCTGATTTGAGCAGATAAGTACAGACATGTTATCGGGCCCGCACTAATCTGCTCGATTATCAATGCAAGGACAAAATCCTGGACCAGATCATCCCTTGTGATGAAATGTGGACTTACTTCAACAACACAGGACAAAAAGGAGGTCGGTCTGTGCCCGGTGAGCCCATCGGCAGTGTCACATAGCACAATTTGAATAACAAAACAAATAGATCATGTTTTGCATCTGGTGTGATAGCTGTTCTACAAAGAGTATCTGGAAAAAGGTAAAACCTTTGACAGTAAGGTGTACAGTGAGATGCTAATTCAAATTGACACTGCTATCAAGGAAAAGTGTCAAACTAAGTTTCAGCACAAAAAGGTAATGAGTACTCTTCTGTTATCAGGATCGACTTCAGAAATGTATGTATGCATGCATTTGTGTATGGGTGTATGTGTTCATATATGCATGCATATATATGTATGTGTGTATATATGTACATATGCATGTACATATGTATGTGTGTGCATACACATACATATATATACACACAAATGCATACATACATACATTTCTGAATCCAGTCCTGATAACGGAAGAGTACCAGGTAATGTTCAAATACAATAATGAAATACCACAAGTGTCTGCATTCACCGGCTGACCTCTGTATGGACTCAAATGGGATCTTTTGCCCCACCCACCACAGCCTCGACATTGCTCCTTCTGACTTCTGCCTTTTTCACACCTGCAGCTACATCTTGCTGGTGCTATTTTTCATTCTCCACAGGATGACCTAAATGAGGTTGATTTGTTTTTTGGACTCATGACCACGAAGTTCCTGAGCTGAAGGCTTTGAAAAACTAGTAAAACATCTGCAGAAAATCATAGGTTTGGATGGTGATTACTATCCGCACTAAAGGTACTGGCCTCATGTTTTTTTTTCCAATTTTATTAAGAACACTTTTTGGCAGAAAACTTTCATTACAACCAGATACTTCCATACCATATTTACAAAACACTCTAGTATAATTTTCAGCATATAACTAAAGGGATTATTGAAATAAATTTAAATTAAAAAAATAAGCGTATAGTACAGCAAGCAAATTTTGAACAAGTTTATTTTCTGGATTTTTCTTTTCAGACAATTTCAGCTTTTATATATGATTACGAATTTGACCATAAGATATACTGTACAGTACAAAGTCCGAAATTCGGACGTCCATTATCTGGAATGATCTAAAATCCGGGCCTCAAAGCCACAAATATTTTTTTTTTTTATTAATGCTTTACACATGCACATTTGATTTTGTCTTCCCTAATAAAACGTGGAGATTTTCACTTGAAAATTCCGATTCTTAATTTCACTTAGGCACTAAATAAAATACCACATTATGGAAAAACAACCATGTAAGCATAAATTTGTGAGATTAATAATTTGGCGCAAAGCTGAGCTCTACTGGCAACATTCACAAACATTAACTATATATGACCCGAGCCGTCATTATTTATTATATTTGCTTCATCACCGCATGTTTATCAATACATGACAGCTTCAGTAATAACTCATGCTGTGATGTCTAAACTTTTTTTTATATTAGTAATTGAATAACACGAGTATGGCAACTTTTTATGCTATTTATGCTAACAATACGCTTGGCGATGATTATAGATTTTTAAATGCTCTAAAAAATGTTGACAAGGAAAAATTTTAAAAAATTTCTTTTCATATGCTACAAATAGATTTTGTTAATGAAACTCATAGGCCAAAAGATTACATTTAGTGCTATTTAATTAAGAATAACTGATATGTTATTCACCCATACCCAGAAATGGCGGCAGAATATGTCGGCATCGGAGAGCAGAATTCAGGAAGATGAAATTTTGAATTTGGGGAAAGCACTGAGTGGAAAAATTAAGGGATGAGAAGTATTTATGATTTAGGGAAAACACTAAGATCCAAAGTTTAGGCACGGTGAAAATTTAGAACTTAGAAAAGCACTTTGTAGCAGAATTTAGGACCCGTAGAGACTGCACAAGGTGGTATCAGCGCCGGCCCTAGATAAAGGCCTTAAGTATATGTGAGAGTTTATTTATTCAGGACTCGGATTAGTTTGAAGCAAGTGCAAGAAAAAAAACATAGGTATGGTAAAAAACTAAATTAATACAATTTAGGCTTAATTCAGTACGCAATAGGAGCAAGACAAAATTTAGTGAAACAACTTGGTTTTCATCGCCAATCTTGTGATACACAGCTAATAATGTATAACAGATGCTATTAAATTAGGCTAAAATTATCTTTACTGATTCTAAGGCATTTCAATTAAAGTAGCAGACTGCACTGCTCCCTGCTCTTCGAATTTGATCCAGCTTATTGTTGCAGACTGTTATTATTACAGCAATTTTATAAAAACTAAGCTTGAACTTTGGATTATCTCGAAAAAAGTTTCCAAGTCTGGAGTTGCCAAAGTATCTACAAAGCGAAACCATGTTTCGATGTCCATTAAACAAAAAGTGGAATTGCTGCAAAAAATGGATATCCGTCTCAAAATTATGCGAGGAATTTTAGTAAGCCACATCCGTCTCAAAATTATGCGAGGAGTATGGCATTGGAAATTCCACTGTATATGACACACACACAAAAAAAAAAAAAAGAAAAAAAAAAAGAAAAGAAAAAGGAACTTTTTGAATTTTTTGTGGAAGCATCTTAAACAACTCATATTGAAAGAAATGTTTAATAAAGTAAACAAATAAATATTAAACTTTCTTTTGTAAATTTTGATACCCTTTAGATCATGATTGTTCTGTATTTCATAAATTTCCTATTTTTAATTATATAATTTCTGCATGCCATCTTACCAGATTTAAATTGATGATCTATTATCCAGAAAAATCCCCAATTCGGAATCGCTGAAGTCCCGACAAGTCCAGATTTTGGACTTTGTACTGTATATGGTACAATATTCTTAATATTCTACTGATTACTTTTTAAACATCAATGCTGGAAATATCACAAGGAAATATTATTCAAAAATTATATATTACCAATTAAAAATGGCTTAGTTACAAGTTAGGTGATAAAGCAGGCAAATTTTATTTCAGATTAAAAAATATACCTTCCTCTGGCAACATGCAATTGCTGAAATCCAATTCTCTTATATGCACATCTTTGGCAAGTGCTTGGCCAATAGCTTTACAAACATCATTTGTAAACTCCAAACCTGACAAATTCAAATAATTTGAACTTCCTGCCCTAAAAATTAGTGGGAAGAAAAGATACATAGTTAAAAAACAGATAATAATACAGTGATATTACAGCTAATTACTCAATATAAATAATATATATGTTTACAGGAAAAGGTTATAACAAAGTAATTTTATATAATTAACATAAACAACGAGATCAAATGATTCAGCATTTTCCAAACATGACTTTATGAAACTGAAATAAGTCACCAATAAACCACTTCATATAAAATCAGATAATAGTTAAAAATAATACTCAATAGCAAAATATTTTAAACACACTTTAACTGTACACTACATCCTGAAATATGTGTATAACATATTAAAATATTTAAAACAATCCTCTTATAGTATTTTCAAGTGAAAAAAAAAAGGAGTTGCACATTAACAAACTGAAGTTACACACATATTCATTTGGGTTTCTAGCTAAAGATCCTAGTTTTAGAGGTATTTTATTTAATTTTACATTTTGGATACCTATGTTTAAAGGAACAAATGATTAGTACTGATTATAATTTGCTAGTAAATGATCACCAGTCTCCTGCAGCTATGTATAAATGCCATCTTAATTGTATGTTTGATAAGTTACAGAAAGGAAGCTATCCACATATGCTTTGATTATCTTATGCTCATAAACAGTTTCAAATGTGTTAATTCTCATGTAAAAAATTATACATCATTAAAAAAGAAAATGCTGTAAAAGATATTAATGCAGACAAATTGCACTATCAGAACTGAAATAGGTTTGAGAAAAGCTAGATAATATTATATACAACAGCCATGTGATGGTAAATAAAATTGAAATAAACTGGAACAAATAAAAAAAAATGAGATAAAACACTCTGAATTGACATGCTGGAACCACATTTAAATGCAAATAAAATAAAAAAATACAGGAACTCTTACAGATAACCTGTCTGCTTCACTAGCTGGAGCTGGAATGGATGGCTTTATCATGTTTGCCATCTTTTATGGGTTAGAGCCTAACCACAGTTCCTAGTACATATTTAGTAACCTAGAGTATTTTATATCACTTTTACTTTCATTTTAACCATGAATGCCAGTTAATTTTTAAACTGCAACAAATATCTTCAAGATAGATGAATTGCTGAAATGCAGAGTGAAGAGGAATAAGACACTGGTTATCAAAATTGAAGGATGATGATAGAAATAAAAAATAACTGATATTTAATGAAAAATTATTACTAAAAATTTGTACAAAAGCATTGTTCAACATAAATTATACTGTTTGGCAGTTGATTATTCACAAAATACTGAAATTAAAACCAAAATTCATCGAAATTGGAAAATGATGGAAAAGTTAAATCACCTCTTGCAGACAATTTTTTTTTTCCTTTAATATGGTGTGTAGTCACCTCTGACAGATTTGCATACCTCACATCTTGATTTCATAGACTTTATCAAAGCATTGATCAAGTCTTGTGGAATTTAATGTCACTCTTCTAAAAGTGCACTTTTCAGCTCCTGAAGGGTCCACAGAGGAATTTGGCATGCTGAAATTCCATGTGCATCTCACAAGTGTTCAGTTGGGTACAAGTCAAATAAGTAAGGAAGGTGGTCAATCCATTTGAGTGATATCTTCTGCTTGCAAGCATTCTGACAGCACATATGCTCAGTGAGACCAAGTATTGTTATCCATTAGCAAAAACTCTGGGCTAACACAACCCTAAACAGTCTAACTTTGGGTTCTAATACCTTGTCTACATACATCCAGGAGGTACAGAACTTATTTGAAAGGTAAAGCTGTGTTCCTTCCTAAGCCATTCAACTTCAGTCATGGAAATTGAATATTTCATGGACAAGGGAAGAGAAGTTGCACATTCTTCCTCTCTCCAGATCAAAACATGCCTAGAATCATTCTTCAGACTATACCTGGACTCGTTAGAAACAATATTCGTACCCAGTTGTCTTGGCTCAATTAAACATGACGATGGCACTTGTTTAAATGGGCTCCACTGGAAGCTGTAGTGAGTGGGACACAAATCATTGGCTTTCTCACATACAGTTCAATCTTATTAAGCCTTTGTACAGCAACAGAATGGCTAATTTGAGTTCCTGTGGCAGTGTCTAAAACCAAATCTCTTGTAGTTGCTTCATGGGAGCCGACAACAGCAGAAAATGGTCTCCTATGCAGTTTTTGCTCTTGATTGCACTTGATCAGGCTATCTATTAACTGATCCAGGGCTTAAAAAATGGTTCCAAACTCTTGATATGACCCTTTGAGGGAAATTCAAATCTTGGGTGACCTCCATTTGTGTTTGATCTCCCTCGGTTCTACCAATTATTCACAACTTTTGATCTTCATTTAAATGATGCATTTGAGCCATAACTACTGAATACTGATCATTCTCAGAAACCGCTTCACTTGAAACAACACTACAGACTGGAATTTTAACATGCATTAGGCACTACACTGTCAGTCACCAAATTTGCATATTTCTGGCACTAATATATGTGTAGAAGTGTTCAACTGTATTTAATTAACATAAATAATTACAGCATTGGGCATTGTTGCAACATTTACTTAGTAAGCATACTTTTACCCATCATCCTTTAATTTTGATTACCAGTGTAATAATTCTTATAACAATTCATCTTTCTTTTTACCAAGGAATTAAAATAATAAGCTACACATTTGTGGTATTTTTTTTAATTATTATTAATGAGATGCTTGTAATTTTGTGGAAAAGAGCTATATGTTGTTTCTTACAATATATATGGTAGCAAAATAATGTTTCCATTACAGATAAACTAGAAAAATGAATATTGGTCCGATTTCCTTCAAGATGTTCAGTTGCTTTTTTGTTACATGTCTTTGAGGTTAACCAAAGAAAAGAATAAATATAGATTACATGATTTGGAAGTGCAAAATGGCAAAATAAACATGTCTCCCACTCTCTGACACCATCTAGATTTCCACAAAATTAAAATGCTGTTATATTGACTTTAAGTGAAAACCAAATGTTACTGCCAATGTTAGAAGAAATCAGCAGCTTAATGCCTCCAGTGCAATCTGAAATTAATATGGTAAAATACATTTTGTATTTTTTAAAATCATTAATCAGATTTTCACATTTACTTTCAATATATCTTTTCAAAAGTTATACATATAGTTAGGACTGTCATTTCTATTTGTACACTGGTGTGCAAAACTTAAGCAACAGGTGTTCTTTTTGCCGTAACTTCCCAAGAAATCATCTGAGCCATGAAATTTAGAAATGAGACACAGCATATTGTATTTAAATGATGATGAAATAATAGCTGCTCAAAAATGAATACAATGGATGCAGGAGAACTCTAGGATCATCATAATGGTCTCTTTCTATTATGTTACTGGGATGAAACCGTGTCCCAGCCTCTCTCCAAATCAGCTGCCATTGAAAATCACTTGTGGCACTAAAACAATTCTCATCAACAAGAAGACACGACTCCATTGGTGATGTCTAGTTTTTGTGCTTCTTGCACCACTCTAAATGGTGGCATTGACGGCCCACTTTCAAAGGGATACAGCATTCAGGACAGCGGGCAAATAGACCATCTTTGTGAAGATGTCTGGACACAGTAAACTGCGACACGTGTTGTCCCATTGCTGTATAAAGTTGCTGAGCTATGGCACTTGCTAACTGGTTTCGGGCTCCTTTCACCTGCAGGATATATCGATCAGCCACTGCATTTGTTTTCATGTAGTGGCCACTACCAACCTTTCTAACAACTGTACCTATGTTTTGGAAGGCTTTCCAAGTGCGGAAAATGACACTTTTGTTGATACCGAACTCTTCAGCTATACTGGTCATCCTATGCCCCTCCTCCAGCTTTCTGATCATGTGATCATGACCCCCATGTGAAGTCTTCCAGGTCATTTCTTCTAGCCATATTTCCTGAAAGAACTTGCTTAAATTGCATCTCTGTTCTTCCTTTTATTGTAGTCTTGAGTTGAGCACGCAGACCGCACACGTTTTGTGTACACTCACGTTGCCTGTGACGCTTTGTTCCTGACACTTGCATACACATGACCTTTCTACTGAATTGCGTGATCATCGTACTGATCGCAAGAATCCCTTTCCTGAAATTTTATGGCTATCTGATCAAAATTTACATTGTTGTTTAAGTTTTGCACACCAGTGTAGTTAGATTTCATGTCTACATTTACACCTGACATCAAGTGATGCTAATCAAAAAGAAAAACATTTATACCAAAATATGTAGAATGTATTTTGGACAAAACATATCAGTACAAAAGTGTACTTAATTAAAAAAATTCCATAAAATTAGTATTTTAATTTCACTTTGTATTAAAAACCTTATTTGGCTCTACTCTTATATGCACTCTAAGATCACCAAACGTGGCAATATGTGTTCTGCGCTGGTTTTTGCCACAATTGCATGTTGTATGGCAACTCTTTGACGTTGAAAACTCTTTTGCTGGAGTGGTTTAATTGCTTGTTGGTTCATGTCGTGCGTGTTTTGAAATGGCCTATGTTCCAATCAGAGACGTAATTGCAAGAGGGTCTGGGAGATTATTTTTAATGGTTGTGCATGATAGAAGTAAGGAAACGCTGATGCAGTGTATTAAGCCTTGTACAGCTATTTTTTCGCATGGCTGGAAATCCTACAAGGATTTAGGAAAAGACAGTTTTGAGCATTTATTTGTGAATCATAGTATGAATTTTGTGGATAGCGAGTCTGGCTGTCATATAAATACCATAGAGAGCATGTGGCGGCTTGGTAAAGCTATGTTCTGCTGTCCGAAGAAGCATCCATTATGGTAAGTGCATTTTATTTTATTCTTTTTATTTTGTAGAATGTTATGTTCATTGTTTTTTTATTAGGAATTTCTGTTGCTATTGCTGTTTTTTGAATTATTTGTAATTTATTTTAGTTATTTTAGCTTATTTTGTTGATTTGTGTGCAATGCTTAGATTGTGCAATTCCTAGATGTTTTTTTAAGTTTAAACAAAATACTGTGTACATGGTAATCTTTGAAATTTATTGTTGTTATGTTAATTTATTAAAGCGAGGTATGCATAGTTCTTAGATTCCTTCCCTAGCTAGATTGTGCAATTTGTAGATTTTTTTTAAGTTAAAACATATTGCTGTGTACTTGGATTCTTGTCAAATATTTTTGGTTAGAAACTTTACATTTTTGCTATCAAAATTTTTTGCTTTTGTTTCGGATTTTTACTTTAAATTGTGTGTTCAAAACATGGTTTTTGCATATGCGAAAATCGCATTTTTGGAGACATTTTAGGCTTAAAATTCGAAACGTAGACAAAAAAATTTAGATAGTAATATGGCACCGTGGAGTTTCATGCCAAAAATGTTTGGCGAGAAATTTGTCACCGCATTTGCCGACCTGAGATCGCATATAAGAGTAGTTCCCCTTATTTCACCCAATAAGTTTTGAATAATGATTAAGAATTCTTCAAATCATAATTTTCTGAAATTACAATTCTGCCTTTGCCTGAAGAGAGGATGATAGGTGTTCTCACAACAGGTGATCTACTGGGCCATATCGATAACAAAAGGTGACCTACGATGTATTTGCCTTTGGTTATGAGTACAAATCATGTAATTTGGCCTTGACTGTATCTCTTTTTGGTCTTCACTGCATCTCTTTTTGGCCTTCCTTATATTAGGGTAATAACCCCACCTCCCTATCAAAAGAAATCAGTGAAAGTAACATCTGCCAATTTGATAATAGTGCTATCAAGATGAGAGCTGAATTCTACCATATAATCACAATTGAGGAATCTGCAATACATTATTTTTCATGTTCAAGGTTTATTACTCATGGTAAGGTTGGTGGTGAAAGGAAGGATAAGATTTTAGATCTACATGGATACATTTAGTGATCCTGCTAGTGGTGTCAACACTCAAATGATAGAATTTCTATGGAGTCATCTTAACCAAATGACTGCAGAGAATATGATAGGAGCAACACCAAAGATACTGCCTCATCATCTGTGATGATAATCTGTCAACAAAGCAGACAAATTTCAAGTCATTTTGAGGGACACCAGAAAGTGTGTGAATGAAAAATAGAAATGATTATTAGTACTTTTTATACACAATTACAGTAGTAAAATGATGACGATTGGCAAATGTGAAAACTGCTTCAACTGATAGATGCCGAATAGGACCACCGGAACTGCTTTTTTCTTATATGTTTAACGTGCAATGTGAACATGTACCGAAACGATAAGTGCTCTAGTAATGTTGTATAATTTAATATACAACATTATATTACAATACATATAATATTAAATTATATAATTATATATATAATAATATATATGTATAATTAATCTGGCAATGCAATAAAAAGAAGTATACAGTACAAATCTTTAATCCGGACTCGTCGGGACTTCGGCATTCGGATTAGGGGTTTTTCTGGATTATAGATCATCAATTTAAATCTGGTAAAATGGCATGCAGAAATTATAAAATTAAAAATATGAAACCGTAATTTATGAATAAAGGCAATTATGATCTAAGGGTATCAAAGTTACAAAAAAAGCTTAATATTTATTTGTTTACTTTATTAACAGTTCTTTCAATGTAAGTTGTTTAAGTTGCTTCGTTTTACGTGCTAATCTTCTCTTTAATTCTGTACACAGACATAATTTCTGTTCAGTTACAAAGTTCCACCACGTTCAAGTCCTGTATTGCTGTGTCGAGAATGCTGACTACTTGTAAATCGAATTTTTTCGTTTCAATAACCCTCTCTGTCACTTTCTTCACTATCGGAAGCGGTACATCGAACATGCTTTCGCTTTGCAGGATCCTGTGGCAGCTCCAGAATCGAAAACTCTTTTGACATAATCGAAGTTCAGCTCCTTTTATAAATTGCTCTAAACAGTCTGCAAAAAATAATAAGCTGGACCCAATTAGAAGATTAAGAAACAACGCAATCTGTAACATTAACTGAAATAGATAATTAGACAATTTTAGCCTAGCTTATACCGTCCGTTATACATTAAACGCGCATGCATAAACATATTATGCACATGCGTAAATGCATATGTGCATGTGTTAAGGGATTATGTGCATGCATAAACACATTATGTGTTTACGCATGCACAGAAAGTTTGTAGCTTTGAAGTTGGATTATGGACGTCTGGATTAAAGACGATGTATATGATTTATTTGTATTTATTTATTTATGTACTGTTGCTTTTCATATAGTTTTGTATGGTACTGTTATCATTTTCTTTTATTTTGATCATGGTTTACAGGAGGTAGAAAATGAGTTGAAAGTTACCTAGTGTGAAAACAACAGATGCTGTCCTCTCAAAATTCGCTCAGACTTTTAAATTGTAAAGATCCTTTTTGGGGGCTCTACTCTTGTATGTGTCCTAAGATCACCAAATGTGGCGATATGTGTTCTGCACTGGTTTTTGGTGCAACTGCGCGTTGTATGGCAACCCTTTTGACGTTGAATACTCTTTTGCTGGAGTGTTTTTTAATTGCTCGTTGGTTCGTGTCATGTGTGTTTTGAAATGGCCTATGTTGCAATGAGAGATGTGGTTGCAAGAGGGTCTGGGAGATTACTTTTAATGGCTGTGCATGATAGAAGTAAGGAAACACTGATGCAGTGTATTAAATAGTGGATTGAGCCTTGTACAACTATTTTTTCGGATGGCTGGAAATCTTACAAGAATTTAGGAAAAGAAGGTTTTGAACATTTATTTGTGAACCATTTATCTATGAATTTTCTGGATAGTGTGTCTGGCTGTCATATAAATACAATAGTGATTACTTGGCAGCATGTTAAAGGCAGCATGAAATTAATATTTCTGCTGTTGGAAAAAGCATTCATTCATGGTAAGTGCATTTTATTTTATTCTTGTTCTTATTTTGTAGAATGTTATGTTCATTGTTTTTTCAGTATGAATTTCTGTCGTTATTGTTGTTTTTTTGAATTGTTTAAAATTTATTTTAGTTATTTTAGTTTATTTTGTTGATTAGTGCGTAGTGCCTAGATTGTGCAATTAGTAGATGTTTTTTAAAGTTGAAACAGAACACGGTGTTCATGGTATTTTTTGAAATTTATTATTGTTATGTTAATTTATTAAAGCGAGGTGTGCGTAGTTTGTTTGTTGCCTATATTGCGCAATTCGTAGATTTTTTTTTAAGTTAAAGCATATCGATGTGTACATGGATTCTTGTCAAATACTTTTGGTTAGAAACTTTACGTTTTCGGGATCTAAATTTTTTGTTCTTGTTTTGGATTTTTATCTTAAATTGTGTGTTCAAAACGTGGTTTTTGCATGCACGAAAAAAGTGTTTTGGAGACAATTATAGGCTTAAAGTTTGAAATGTAGACCAAAAATTTAGATAGTAATATGGCATTGTGGAGTTTCTCGCCAAAAACGTTTGGCGAGAAATTTGGCAACTTGAAGGCACATATAAGAGTAGTTCCCTTCTTTTTCTGTTTTTGATATATGACATATGACAGTGTCCCTAAGCTGAGAGTCCAATATTAAGAAAAGCATTGTCACATTCCCCTTCATAATTTTTAGATGCTTTCATTTAATATTGTGAGTTTTGGTAAAATTGGAAAAAAGAGAATCAGAAGTCATACCATAACCACATCTTTTCTTTAAAAAAAAAGAAAGAAAGAAAAGGGCCCCCCCCCCAAAAAAAAAAGAGAGAGAGAGGAAAACAGCAATACAATGAAAAAAATTCCAAAATTGAAAATTTTATTCAGGAATTTCAAAAGCTTCATTTTTTCTGAAGTGAGATACACCCACATCAGCAGAGTTATAGGTGAGTTTCTAAGGAAAGCATAGTCTTGGGTCTTATCATTAAAAGTCTACAGGCAAATATAAGTTAATACTTTCTAAAAGACTGACTATGTATTTAATATAATGTTTATTAAATTATGGCATAATAAGTTTTGGGAAAGTGCAAAATCACCCACTGCTTGGCGCATTTTTAAGAATTGCACTAACTCGGTATCCATGTACACATCAACCTATTTCCACTTTTAACAAAAATCTTAGAATTGCACAAAAATGACATTGTGCACTCCCTTGACTTTATCCATGTACACGTCGACCTATTTTCACTTAAAAAGGTCAATGAAAATTGACAAAAATCAATTCTTCTTACTCTTGTAAAAAGCACCAAACGAATACTAAGTGGGCGATTCTGCACTTTATTCATAAGTTTTAACAGTTTTTTAATAAAACATAAAGCTGCGTAATAATTACCAATGAAATTAAGAAAAAATAGTCATTTTTTTACATCCTGCTTTCAAATGATCCGGAGAATCTACATATACAAACTTCGCACCAAAAATCGTCTAACATTTATCTGCGGGCATACTACTTTTGTAACATATAGGTTACATTCATTCACATGAACGTTGTAATGCCGTTAGAAAAATGTAAGTACTGATATACATGTATTTAAATACGAAAGATAACGGATTAGGCATACAATTATTATTTCCATACGTAAAATAACAGCTAAATATAGAGAGAAACAAAAAGCCGTGTGCACATCACGAATATACAATGGAAATAAATATCAGTTATTTCGGTTAAATACACTAGCGTGCGCTTAAATAAAATTCAAAGGATGAAAACAATTATTTTCTAAAGAGAGCAGGAAAAGATTGCATAACCGTCAAGATCGAAATCACAGTTAATGTAAAATCTGATAATGGCTATTATTATTAACAGTTACTTATTTTCAAGTTAATAAATAACAAAGAATTTGAAAATACTTGCTCTTCTATACGCAACAGCAGTTTCTGACATGGCTTTACTTTTAGATTATCAGAAATTTCTAAGTAAACAAACTTAAAAGAATCCATTCGCCCAGCATCATGGTAAACGCACCCTACACAACAAACCATCCATGGTTGTTATGACAACGAATATCGAAAAAAACAAAATTCCTGTAATTTCATAAATATCCTATAGAATTTTTTAATAGATTTAATAATATATTTAGCTTTTTTGTTTCATAATTTATTTTTTTTTAATTTTACATTTAAGACAGGAAGAAATTTTTTCAGCATATTTCAAATTAGTTAGTGTATTTCTGAAAAGCAATAGCTCTCCAACCATCGATAGTTATTAAGCTGTAAATCAATTTATAAATAATATTTTTGAGAAAAGTATATTAATAGTACCTAAATAGCTTAATACATTTTTGAATTCGTAATGACATTTAAATACATAACTTGAAATGAAGTGACTCCTTAAGAAGCTAAATACGAGAACTGCTCAAATAGCCGATATTTTGTTTCATCATGTCTTGTTCGGATTCCCAGTCGTCTAATAAAACATGGGAATTAAGTCTATACGAATTACACAGGACTCCGCAAGAGGTAATTACCGATAATACTGAAATAGCAGTATCTCCCAGAAGTTTACACAGTGAATTAATGTGTCCTATCTGTCTAGATATGTTAAAAAATACTATGACTACAAAAGAATGCTTACACCGGTTTTGTCAAGAATGCATCATCACTGCTTTACGCAGTGGAAATAAAGAATGTCCAACGTGTCGTAAGAAACTTATTTCTAAAAGATCTTTGCGTCCAGATCCTAATTTTGACATGCTGATATCGAAAATTTACCCCAGTCGTGATGAGTATGAAGCTCTTCAAGAACGAGTTCTAGCGTCCTTAAATAAAAAGCATAACCATGCATTAGCTCATAGTATCGAAGAAGGAATGAGGATTCAAGCACTTAATAGAGCTCAGAGAGTTAGAAAGAATGCTCCTGAGGAAACAAATGACAATAATAACAACAGCAATGCTAGTACAACAAATACCAGTGCCATTGTCAATAACAGTGCTGCAAGTGTAAACGAAAATAGTAATAGTATGACTGCCCCCCTTACCACATCTACGCCGGTACCAACACCTCGCCAGACTCCTACGCCTGGTAGTTCAAGTGATGCAAATTCGTCTCAGCCTCGTAAGAGACTAAAAACATTGTCAGAAAATGAATCTGTAGGGTCAGGTATTGAACAAGATAATGAAAATGATTTAGCTGAAGAAAGCACGGAGGGTACAAATCAAGAAGTAGAGACTGAGAGTACATCTGAAACATCTGTAAATGAAATTGAACTTGTATTTAAACCCTATCCTCATGACAGGGATGATAGTGAGCCATCATATGCTCAAGTTCGTTATATTAAAACTACAGCCAATGCTACAGGTATTTATAAACATCCTTATTATTGTATATTATTTATTTGGTAGACGGTTGCACGGATTTTGGCGATTTTTTTCTCCTAATCATTTTTTCTCGTTTTAGGATTTATTCTGCTTATTTTTGGTTTTTTGCCATTGCTAACTTGCTAACTTGTATGCTTATTTTGGTTTTGGGGTGTTCTTTTTTTTTGGGAGAGATACAGGTGGTGAAAAGTAGGTTCCTTCTTTCCTGATAATATATAGACATGTCAGTAATAATGCATCACACAGAAAAATACCTTATCTATATGTGGTGATGGATTGCGAACTCGAGACTTTTTGTACTTGATCAGTGTCTAGCATATTTCTTCTTGCTTAACATGGTAGGTAATTTTTTAGAAGCTGCTTGATCTTTGTTAGATTTTGTTGTATATAATCTTATTGGTAATAGAGATTGTTGGATAGAAAATACATAATGTTTAGAATTAAGTATTTTGAATTTTATTTTTTTGTTTTATATTTAAAATGTATTTAAGCATCCCTTCTTACCTGTTAATGTATAGATATGTTAGTAATAAATGCATCACACAGAAAAATACCTTATCTATATGCCGTGATGCATTGTGGAGTCGAGACTTTTTGTACTTGCTAAGTGTCTAGCATATTTCTTCTCGCTTAACTCTTTGAAAACCAAAGCCTTCGCTAACTTGTATGTTAAAATTAAGAAATGCCAAAAAGGGTTTTCAAGAGTCCCAGCAATTTCCTCCCCTTCCCATCCATTAATGCACAAAGAAGAGTGAAGATTTCAAATGATATCTTTTCTACGTCTAACAAATAAAGATAAGAAACCACAAATAAATCCTTTTAGGGCAAGCTGTCTGCAATAAACTGATACAATGCATTTTTGGGGAAACTGTACCTGCTACTGCATACCTTAGGGGAGGGAAGATAACAATATAGAAATTTCGGCCTTGTAGGGTGGTTGTGTGAATTAAGGCATTCTGGGCCGTAGAATTAACATGGTAGATAGTTTTTGAGAAGTAGCTTGATCTTTGTTAGATTTTGTTGTATGTAATCTTGTTGGTAATAGAGATTGTTGGATATAAAATACAAAATGTTTATAATTAAGTATTTTTAATTTTAATATAAGTATGTTTTATATTTTAAATGCATTTGTGTGTTCTAAGGTTTTGATGATTCACTTTATTGACTAAGTAATAGATAAAATTGTTTAATGTTTGCGTTATAAATTGGCAGGTGAGGATTATAATAGATAATTTAGAGGGAAAAGTTTTTGGATATTTTATTTATTTTATATGTGCAAATGTTCATCCTTGGAAAGGGTATATACTTTCTCGCGATCAGGTAATTTCATATATGTCCTTTTTACCAAATTTAAAGATTCACAAAATTTTCATGCATTTTCGTGAAATTTTTCTAATTTATGAGAAAAAAAGCAGTGTACATGGATATAGTGAAGAGTGTGCGCAATGCCATTTTTGTGCAATTCTGGGATTTTTTTTTAAGTAAAAATAAGTCGACATGTACATGGTTTGGTTGATCTTTACATTATGGTAACTTGGCGGTTTTTTGGCAAAAATTTGGCGACTAACTCTCCTACAGCAACCCTCTATTTTTTTTTCCCCGCAGCCATTTTGTCTTCACAAAGTAAAGACACGTTTCTTTTCTTTTTATCTACTGAACACTTCTTCCAACAATCTACTAGCCGAATTACACTTATGCTAGAAATTTTATCTAACAAAACTGCTTAATCATGACAAATATTCACTGCAAAATTGGGAAAAAGTGCACAATACCATACTCCTTACGCGTTTTTCAAAATAACACATATACATAAACCATGACACGCCGACTTATTTTTACTTAAAAAAACATCCCAGAATTGCACAAAAATGGCATTGCGCACACTCTTCACTATATCCATGTACACTGCTTTTTTCTCATTAATTAGAAAAATTTCACGAAAATACATGACAATTTTCTCAATCTTTAAACCCGGTAAAAAGAACATATATGAAATTACCTGATAGCGAAAAAGTATTTACCCTTTCCAAATATGAACATTTCCACATATAAAATAAATAAAATATCCAAAAACTTTTATCTCTAAATCATCTATTACATTATACACGTCACCAACGAATTCACACCACAAGCATTACAAATACTTAGTATCAAATATTTAAATTATTTCCATGCACGTTTACTTCAACTGAAACGTATACCAAATTCCTACAAACATAAAATTCACAAAATAACTATCATTTAATTAAAATATCACTAAACCATGTACACGTCGACTTATTTTTACTTAAAAAAACATCCCAGAATTGCACAAAAATGGCATTGCGCACACTCTTCACTATATCCATGTAACACTGCTTTTTTCTCATAAATTAGAAAAATTTCACGAAAATACGTGACCAATTTTCTCAATTTTTTTAAACCCGGTAAAAAGAAACATATATGAAATTACCTGATCGCGAAAAAGTATTTACCCTTTCCAAATATGAACATTTCCACATATAAAATAAATAAAATATCCAAAAACTTTTACCTCTAAATCATCTATTATATTATAAAACGTCACCAACGAATTCATACCGCAAACCATTACAAATACTTAGTGTCAGATATTTTAATTATTTCCATGCACGTTTTACTTCAACTAAAACGTATACCAAATTCCTAAAAACATAAAATTCACAAAATAACTATCATTTAATTAAAATATAATTAAATTCAAAAACACTACTTAAAATATAAATGAGCACATACATTAAATTAATAAAAATTACCTTACAATCCTAATTACTTTTAAACTAAATCATTGCTAATAACAATTTTCTCAATAATACCAAATTCCTTTACTTCCACCTTACATTTAGAACAATGCATAAAAATAATATCCTCAAATAATTATTAAAAATACTAACTTACCTAATCTTCTTCAGAATCTTGATTACGTGTCCGATAAACTTTTCTTATTTCCTCCGCTAAATAAAAAGCAAGCGTATGTGTGCCTTTTCAGGATCTTTAAAATCATACTTATAGTTCACAGCAAGGTACCAGGTAAATGGTAAAAATAAATTAATAAAGCATCTTTATTTCTATCTCGTACAACCTTAAAAAACATTTATTACTACCCTTTCAATACCACTAAATACCCATTTCGAATTCACTTTAGTTAGGGCCATGGTATTATCCAAAATTCACGAACACTGTTTCACACAACACAGAATAAAGCCAAATACAAAATTTCCAGATTTTTTCCCGATTTCCCCCCTTTTCCGATTAAAGAACTGTAATTCGTCCATTAATATCACATGACATATCCCATGATCTCTCATTTCCCTCACATAAAATAATGCGTAATCGGAACTGAGTACTGCTCACATTATTACCAAAGTCCCAGGTAGTAACCTTTATCGCCTCCAAAATGTAGTTTGGCGACATTTTGGAGGCCAGTTACCATATTGTAAAGATCAACCCATGGTTTAATTATATTTTAATTAAATTATAGTTATTTTGTGAATTATATGTTTGTAGCAATTTGGTATATGTTTGAGTGGAAGTAAACATGCATGGAAATAATTAAAATATTTGACACTAAGTATTTGTAACCATTTTTAATGTTTTGTTATGAATTCGTTGGTGACGTTTATAATAGATAATTTAGAGGTAAAAGTTTTTTGGATATTTTATTTGGAACTACTCTGATATGTGCCCTCAAGACGCCAAATTTTTTGGCGAGAAACTTCACGCTGCCATATTAAGCGTGAAATAAGGGGAACTACTCTTATATGCGATCTCAGGTCGTCAAATGTGGCGACAAATTTCTCGCCAAACATTTTTGGCGTGAAACTCCACGGTGCCATATTACTATCTAAATTTTTTGTCTACATTTCAAACTTTTAGCCTAAAATGACTCGAAAAACGCGGTTTTCGCACATGCAAAAACTATGTTTTGAACACACAATTTAGCTAAAAATCCGAAACAAAAACAAAAAATTTAGATAACAAAAATGTAAAGTTTCTCACCAAAAATATTTGACAAGAATCCATGTACACAGCGACATGTTTTAACTTAAAAAAACATCTACGAACGGCACATATAGGCAACGAATGAATCTATAAACTATGCACACCTCGCTTTAATAAATTAACATAACAACAATAAATTTCAAAGAATACCATGTACACAGCATCCTGTTTAAACTTTAAAAAAAATCTACAGATTGCACAATTTAGGCAAGGAAGGAATCTACGATCTACACACTCCTCGCTTTAATAAAATAACATAACAACAATAAATTTCAAATAATACCATGTACACAGCGTTCTGTTTCAACTTTGAAAAATATCTATGAATTGCGCAGTCTAGACACCAAACAACAAAATAAACTAAAATAAATTTCAAACAATTTAAAAAACAACAATAACGACAGAAATTCGTACTAAAGAACCAATGAACATAACATTCTACAAAATAAGAACAAGGATAAAATAAAATGCACTTACCATGAATTAATGCGTTTTCGAATAGCAGAAATATCAATTTCATACCGCCTTTAACATGCCGCCACGTAATCACTATCGTATTTACATGACAGCCAGACACACTATCCAGAAAATTTATACTAAGGTTCACAAATAAATAAAATTACAAATCCCTATTTCTATCATGCACTGCCATTAAAAATAATCTCCCAGACCCTCTTTCCACACTTCCAAATACCCACTACCCCTCAACAGGATAGCCACAATGATATTTCCTTTTGCCGAACTTCAATTTCAACAACTTCCACCATTTTATCTTTGCCCTCCATCTTCTCAGACACGGATGCGAATCAACGAGCTCCAGCGAAAGATTTTTCAACGTCAAGCAGGTGGATACACGCAATACAATACGCAATCATGCGCCAAAAACCAGCGCGCAGAACATATATCGCCACATTTGGTGAAATTAGGGCGTATATTAAAGTTGTACCTTTTATTTATATT